TGTCTGGTGTCCTTTGTCTCCAAAAGGTGAGACAAATGGGGCTGGCTCGGGGATGCCAACAATCAGGGCCTAAGCCTGGGCATCCTGGGGGCAACCCAGACATATCTAAAGGTGGCCGGGGAGCATTCTGTCCCTCCAGGGGGCTCTGATGATGCCCCAAACCCACAAGAAGCAGTCACAGAAGGCGGTCTAGCACCCCCTCAAGGCCTCTTGACAGTGAGGGGCAGGATATGGAGCAGGGATGTGTCACCAGCAAAGCCCGTTAACAACTCCCAGGAAATGAAAGTAGAATCTGGGTAATAAAATCAAGTCTAACCTTTAGTTTTCCTGTGTGTGCAGTCTTCATCGGCTCAGAGGAAGCCACACCCGGACGCTCTGCACCGTGTGGCTTCACACCGCGGGCTCTGCACTCTTCACAGTCAAGTTCCTGCTTCAAAATGCCGCGGGGCCAACACCTCAGCTGGCTTTGCCAGCCACGTGCAGAAGCATGCCGAGATCGCTATAAGGCAACCCCGTCCATGGCCTGTCTGCACAAGCAAGCGTGTGCTCTAGACCAAGTTCACATCTCTCCATTCTGTGCTGGAAGCAATAAGCTTTCTCCTGCTTCTGAACCAAACTCGCCCTTGTTTTATCAACTTGAACAACACCAGGCAGGAGAACTCTTTTAGGGGACCCAAGCGAAATGGTCAGGTTGGTGCCACTACCTTATAGGTTTGTGGGTACTAATGAGAGAGAGGTTAGGCACGTATGCATGCTAAATTGCTTCAGTTGTGTCCGACTCTGTGTGACCCTATGCACTGTAGCCCGCCAGGTTCCTCTGTCCATGGGATTTGCAAGAATACCGGACTGGGGTGCCATGCCCTCCTCCAGGGGATCAAACTCGTCCTCTTATGTCTCCTGCATTGGCAGGCAGGTTCTTTACCTCTAGCACCACCTGGGAAGCCCCAGGGGTTAAGCAGGGTTTAGTTATTAACAGTTAGGGTATATCATCAAATGCTGAATTTCAAGAATCAGAAACCAAAAGCGGATCTCTTTTGAGCACCGGCCTGTGATAAATTTTGTGCCAGTCCTGGCCGCCTAAAGACTCATGAGACACAGCCACTCCTTTCCAGCCGCAGTGGGAGAGACTGAGTGAGCAGAAAGGGGGTGACTTCGCCCGGCAGGTCTGACAGCAAGGAGGGCGCCGCGACACACACACACACGCACACAAGCAGCCTGTGTGAGCCTGTTACCATCCAAGGGCGTGACTTCTGGGCTGAGACCTGAAGGAGGGGCTTTCTAGAAGAAAAGGGACAGTTCCAGCGGCAGGACAGTGAGAGAGGAGTGGTCCTGGTGCAAACCAAAGCCTGTGTGCCCCTCTCCACCTCACCCCTGCAGGAACTCCCATCCCCACAGCCCCCTACAGCTCTCATCAGATGAAGGCGACACCCAGGTCTTCCTCAGTTGTTTAAATAGCTTCACTTGGAAGCTGCAAAACTTGTATAATTTCTGTACAACCTTCCCCCAGACTTCCCGGGTGGTCTTTCTCCATGTGTTCCTTCATCTCTTCCCCACTCAACACACACACAACACACACATGTACATACCACAGATGTGTAAGTTGTTATTTTTCCTCAATCACTGGAGAATAAACTGTAGACAAGGTATTGCTTCGCTCCTATTTCAGCATGTGTTTCCTAAAAGCAAGGATATTCTCATACGTATTCACGAAGCAAGTCAAAATCAGGAAACTAACACCGACACAATATTATTGTCTAACCTTATTAAAATCTTTAGATTATTAAAATTCCACTTAATGTCCCACTAATACCCTTTATCACAAAAGAATAACAGTATTTTTTTCCCTCTGGCCCAGTGTCTAACTCGGGAGGAGGCATTCCATTCAGTGGTCACGTTTCCTTAATCTGAAAATTTTCTCCATTTTGCCTTTTATGACCTTGACATTTTTGAAGAACATAGGCCAGTTGGTTTATAAAACGTCCCTGAATTTGGGTTCTTGGATTCTTTCATACAGTGTTTCAGCCAACTTTCTCCATCAGAAAGGCTGACCATTCATATGTACCAGGCCCACTCCTACCTCATTAGTGACTATCCTCTGATCTCCCAACTCTCTTAGATCCTTACTCCCTTATTTCTCCCACAACTGTAAAAGGCTTGTTCCTATAATAAATCCCTTATCCCATAACACTTGGAGCGTTTCTGCTTCCCAGACGAACCTGATGGAGAGACAGACTTAAAAGTAACAACAGGACCAAAGCTGGTGACTATGGGTGATTGTTGAATCATTCTTAAAACTTCTCTGTAGAACTCAAATTTTAAATAAGATTTTAAAATTAAATATTTCGAGGAATGAGTCACAAGACAGTGAGTGTTGTTAACTAAGTATGCTTCTATGATGCTAGCTTTAGACCTTGATTTAGTTGACCACCTTATAGTTTTAGAACAGTGAAACCGTCTCCCTTACGTGGCTCAGAATCATTTTCTATTCACTCATTCCAAGACTCTGGGAGAAGTCCAGCTCCATGTCCCTCGATTTTGAGCCCAAATCTCTCTCTGTTGGGGAAAAATATTTTAGTGTTTTTTGTGTGTGTCTATCATTGTTCTGATGAAAGAGGTTATTGTGCCCCCACCCCCAAGAACTGAAGGTCTAACATTGTATATCATAGAACCTTTATTATTTTTTCCTCTATATTCTTAGAAACGTACATAACGCCCGTGCTCTAGTTATAACACCATTTATAGACATTTAAAATGCATCTTCATTTATAAATATTTTACATTTGGTCCATAGAACAGATCATTTTACTAAATAATACTGTAATTTTTTTAAAACAGGCTCTGTATATAGTTTGAATATGTATATATTACATATATTTTTTAATATAGAGATAGATTTACTTGGTGTTCTGAGGATAAACCCTTATTGCAAAAAAAAAAAAAGCATATATGATAATACAATATTTTTCCCTCCCCAGGGCAAATACTAAAAAAAGTTACACGTATTCACAGTTCTCACAGTAATTGAACGACACGTAATATTGTGCTATATATGTGGGTTTGGATGGAAATCAGTTAAGGGATTTCTTGCCAAACATCTCACTTAGATTTGCTTACAAACATTATTAAATACGCTGCATTTGTCTTCGAAAGACTTGTTCTTAGTTCCAGAGTGAAGAACAAAGAGAAAGTTAGAAGTCTTCCTGCCCTTATTTTAAAGGAATTCACGCCAAGGCTGAGGGGGTGGGACCACGAGACACAGAGAAGGGTTCCTTTTGTTCTAAACCCTATAATTTAACAATACATATGCATTTTGATCCTGGATTCACCAGTTGGCATTTGGGATGCCTTAGTGATGAGACTATTTTACAGATGACTTCAGGAAAAGCTTGTGAGATTTCCTACACAATATCAAATGAGACCCTAGGTACCACACGTGAGGATGAATGTACATATGTGTGCATTTCTATGCATACACAAACTTTTTTTTTTTCTCTACAAGAATGTGCTTGATATTCTGAGGGTAATACCTTATTGCAAGAACTGGTATGCTGGTCACTTCTGGATGAGGATGAAAGATTTAAAAAAACCCACAGTCACAGTTATTTACCATAGTTATTAAGGATTAGTTGTAAAACACAGCTCGTGAGTTTAACTAGCTAAGGAGTACAGGGCACGACGTACGACTTGCTACATGGGAACCCATGTTCCCAGCAAATGAGAAGCTGTTGAGCTGCTGGAGCTTTTGCAAGAAACTGTCTTCACTGGATCTGCTACCATGGCCATCAACATCATCACCATCACCACCACCACCGTGGAGCCCAGTTCTGGAGAAGAACCAACACTGCCTCCCAATGGAGCAGTTTTAATCTCGGAAGCACTTGGGGAGAGGGTCTGGATTAACACCAGCCCCTTGGTTACTGGGCTGGTGGATTTTAGTGGCAGCGAGGAGATGCCCACTGGCGAATTTTTCAGAGGAGGGGAGAGGGCAGCAGGCGTGACTGGGGTGGCCGTAAGGGAGACGGTTCAAGAAGGAGACAGTTAAGACCACTGGACCCGCTTTGCAGTCAAACACAGAGCCTCATCTTCATTTCCTATGGATGGTTCTGTGCTCGGCAAAGCAGGCTGGCCTAAGGAAAGGGCTCCTGGTTAGGAAACGGCCCCGGCGGGATCAGAGCCCCTCCACCACCAACGGTGGTTAAGAAAAATCAATTGTGCTTTGCAGCCATTTTCCGAGGAGCAGGGGGTTTGTCTGGAAGGATCACTGTTGGGCCAGGTGCCCTCAGAATGGCCTGGCCAGGAGTGTGGAAGAGGGTGGGGTGGGGGGTGAGGGGGGAAGTAGGAAGCTTAGTGCAGAGATGCCCGTTGAGTTGGGTGGAAGGGAAACAGGTTACTGGATCGGCTGCTTGAAAAAGCAGCTCTGGGAATACTGACGGACCTGCGGGGGTGGGCGGAGGTGTCAAGCTGCCTCGGGAAGGAGAAAAACAGAACACTAAAGCGCTGGCTCCCTGCTCTTATTAAAGGTGAGCTCTCCCTGGAAATGCCCATTATACAGAAAATAGCCTTTTCACGCACACAGAGCAGCATTCCTGGCAGAACCCAACTCCTGCCAAGCCGGAGATAACAGTCATGGGTTTCGGCAGTAAGAGAACAGTCAGGAATTAAAACTAAAAGCCAGGAGACCACAGCCTTGCCGCTTCTCCCTGGCCGGCGGGGTAGTAAAAAAGATCTATTATAGCAGCCACACAGGCCGATGCTGACGGGGGAGGAGGGAGGCCGGGTTACAAAGGTCACCAGCCTGTGAGCATCTACTCCTCCCCCAGTGGGAGCCCCCCAACCCCGGGGGTGTGACTGTCCCCACCTCCCTCTGTTTGCCTGCTGATGGTGTCTGGACTCGCCACTCGAGGTAGGTTGAGATGGATGGTATCTTCAGACATCAAGTGGTGGTCACGTGCAGCCAGGGCGGGGGGTGAGAGCATGGGTGGGCGAGGCGCCCCGCACCCCTAGATGTAGGCCTCTTTGCTGGCTGAGCCGCTGGCCTGGGACTGCTCCGGACCGTTCTCTGGACGCACGATGTCTTCACTTGGCTGGATCATGACCTGGATCCGCTGTGGGCGGCAGAGGGGTTAGCGCTAGGATGGCGGGAGGCTGGCTTCTCCTTGGCCCACCCACTTTCCAGGTCCCTCCCGCCTGCTGGCCTGCAAGGCCGGAGCTCCCAGCCCCCTCCTGCGCCTCTGCTGACACTCCCGGGGCCACGCCCACCCCCTTTCACGTGGATCATTGTAGCAATTCCCCTGCAGGTCGCAGCACCCCCTCTACTTTGGTTCTTGCCCCTCACCCTTTTCCTTCTATTCTTGACACCCCAGCCGGCGGGGGGGGGGGAATTAGGTGAAAAGAGAAGTCAGACCACGTCCCTCTGGACCCAACAGTGGCTCCCATTTCACCAAAGCCCTACAAGGCCCCACAGGACCTGGTCCCCCCATCCCCGCCTCCGCCCCTTCACTGCAGACCTCACTGTTCTCCCTTCACCCCCTCGCTTCCTCCACTCTAGCCAGGCAAGCCTCCTCAGCACTGAGCAAGGGCCCCTGCTGTCCCCGCAGAGTGGTACATCCTTCCTTTCAGACGGTGACACAGCTCGACCTGTCTCCTGAGGTCTCGGCTCACTGATATCTCCTCAGGGAGCCCTTGCCCAGCACCCCCTAAACCCCCTTTCTCCATATTGCTCATCCCCATCAAGCATGACTTTATTTAATTGTGGATCTTTTCTCTCTTAGAATGTATTGTCCATGGTGGTGGTAGTTTAGTTCCTAAGTTGTGTCTGACTCTTTGCAACCACATGGACTTGCAAAGCCAGGCTCCTCTGTCCATGGAGATTCTCCAGGCAAAAATACCGGAGTGGGCAGTCATGTCCTCCTCCAGGGGATCTTCCCGACCCAGGGCTTAGACCCATGTCTCCTGCGTTGAAGGCGGATCCTCTACTGCTGAGCCTCCAGGGATGCCCGTGAGGATGGGACTGCGGCTCAGGGCTGAGTCCCCGGCACTGACCGTGGCGTCTGGCCCACAGCAAGTGTTCAGTGCATGTCTGCTGATGGGGTGAGACTCTTACCCACCTTCTCTGCACGCGCCGCCCCCCATCCTACCCCATCAGCACCTGTCCTCAGATGAGCCTTCCCGTTTCCTGACTGCCTTTTGAGACTTGGTAGAGAACTGTGGGAAACAAAAGCCTTGGACGTGGAGTTGGAAGAAAAGGCCGTAAGGGCCCTGCTCTGCTAATACCTGACCGCAAGGGGTGGAGAAGAGGCTTCTGCCACATCTTCCCTGTGCTGCAGACCTGCAGCCCCTCCTGCCAGCTCTGAGTGGGTCTGGCAGTGGCTCTTGGAGGGCAGTCAGGCTGAGAAGCACGGATCCAGGTCCTCCCCAGCTGTGGCCCTGCATCTGTCCTCGGCGAATCCCCCAGCCCAGCCTTACTCCATCAGTGTCTCAGGCCCTGGACCTCCAGCACAGCCTTGTTCACTCGAGGATTCAATATGATTTAACGAAGAGCTGCTATGGACCTGGCATGTGTCAGGGGGCCCCCGCTAGGGGCAGCGTGCTTTTCACGAGGTCTCCAGTTAGGCTGTGAACACATCTGATTCCACCCTTCATGGCTCTGTACAACCCTCAGGATAAAGTCCAAAGTTCTTGTCCTGCTTTTCCAAGCCCTTCATGATCTGGTCCAACCTTCTTACATTCCCAGCCTCATCTCTCGTCACCTCCCTGCATGCCTCCCCTCTCTACCTGCCAGCTACACTGATCCGTTTATACCCCTGGGCCTTTGCACATGCTTCCTATCCTCTTCCAGGATATCCTGGAAGAATATCCTATTCTCTCTGCTTCTATCATTTATTTTATATATCTCTTCTTTTCAGATCTGCTTCTCTTAGAGGTTATTACAAACTACTGAGCATTGTTCCCTGTGCTACGCAGTAGGTCCTTGCTTATCTGCTGTATGTATATTACTGTATATATGTTAATCCCAACTTCCTAATTTATTCCTCCCCTACTTCCTTTCCCCTTGGTGACCGTAAGTTTGTTTTCTACGTCTGTAGATCTATTTCTGTTTTGTAAAGAAGTTCATTTGTATCTTTCCTTCCTGCTTCTCCTTTTAAGTGTGGTTTGTCCTTAGGCCTCTTCTTTGTTGCCCCCCTCTTTCAGAAAGCCTTCTCTAACCCCCCTCAATGCAGGCAGGGCTAACCCATCTCTCTGGTTCACCCCAATCGTGACCTCTGACACTCTACTGTCATTGGCTAGCGACCTGTCTTCTCCCCAGGCAGACTGTGCTCACAAGGGTGGGGGTGGTGCTCAGCACAGTACAGAAGGGGCCCAGTGACAGGAAGGGTAAGGAACGGGCTTACCTGCTTCAGGGAGCCCTTTAAGGTGAGGAACATGTAGGCCATGTATCCGGGGATGAGGACCATGGAAGACAGGGCCATGAGCCAGCCCACGCCCTGGCCCCACTTGGGGAACACGTAGCTCCCCATGGTGAGAGGGGTCATCTGCACAGCACTGAAGATGAACACACCCTGGGGAGAGGGAGAGAGGGAGGGCCAGGCGGTCACCCAGACTGGACTGCCAAGGCCCTTCCTTAGACCCTGCAGACGGCAGGTCCATCGCGCCCCACCCCTGCCCTGGTGCTGGCCAGGGCCCCCACAAGGGCCCAGCATCTTGGGAATCCTGCACCCGGGGCCACTCTAGGACATAAGGTAACTTCGTGTAGAACAGAAGCCACCATCTCTGAGAGGACCAATAGTAAAAGGTGCCTTCTCTGTGACAGCCAATAGGAAACGGCCTCCCTTCTGGGAGAGCCAATAAGAAAAAGGTGTCCGCTCTGGAAGAACCAATAGCAAAAGGTGGTTCCTCCGGAAGGACCAATCGCAAAAGGCGGTGCCTCTGGGAGGACCAATAGCAAAAGGCCTCCCTTCGTCCCAGGTAAGCAGTATGTCAAGCAGAACAAGGGTGGGAGGTCACCCCCAGCCTGCCGTTGGCTGGGTGCCCTTGTGCAGGACACAATATATGCAGTGGCCCAGCCCCACTGCAAGGACCTGGGTGGGTGGTCCCTCCCAGGCCGGTTCCTGCCTTAGTTTCCCCTTGCAGGAGAGAATGAGGGATGCTGAGAATGCGGGGCCACCCCATGTGGATGGTTTGGCTTCAGAATCAGGCCAACATGGTTTGAGCCTGAAGATGGTAGGCTCAAGTGGTAAGATGCCCACTGGGTGAGGCTGGCTGGTGAGCCCCGGCCCCCGCAGCAGTGAAGTGGGGCAAAGACAGCCGCTGTGCTGAGGTTCGTGAAGACTCCAGGGAGCAGAGGAAATGCTCAGCACAAATGGGAGAGAGCAGTATCCTAGGGAATAGAGGTCTGGAGCCCTTCCATCTGCCTTTGGCTCCAGAAGTTTCTCTTTGGCCCCGAGTCGCCCCAGGGTCCCGTCTGGCCCTGCCCTTACCGCCACAATGATGGGGGTGAAGAAGGACCAGCAGAGCTTCCACCAGATGCAGGGCCTGGAGCCGACCATCTCCTGGATGTTGTCGTAGAACCGGTTGACGCCTGTGACAGGTGGGACGAGAGCAGGAGGGATGAGGGAGTAGTGGGGACTGCAGGCTCAAGGCCCCGACCTGCTGCTTCCTCACACTGCGACCACGGCCAAGTCACCTAACCTCTCTGAGCCTCAGTTTCTTCGTCTGTAACACAGGGCGAATGCTCCAGGGTAGGGGGTCCTCATCAGCTAAGCACTCAATGACCAAAGCCCACCTCCCCCCCCACCCCAGTAAGCGGGGCAGTCACCTGAAGGTGAAACCATCTACCACCACAAGGACGTACCTACAGGAAGCAGCCCCACCTTTCAGGTCCCTCCCACTCAACATCTCTCCCAGCAACGCCTTCAAAGCTTTGCTGGGCAAAGGAGGTTTTCTCTGCTGATCTGATGCATGAGTGGCTACTGGTAAGACTTCGTGGAAGAATTACCAGTCTTGCAGAAAGAACTCTGCAGAGGTCCTGAAGTTCATGAGAGTGACACTGGGTGCCACTCAGACTTAAAAGCAAAGTCACTGATAATGAGGACCTGGGAGGGTCAGACCAGGTGGAGAGCAAGAAGGGAGAATGATGAGAAGGGTGAGGTGGCAGGACTACAGGGACCCCCAGGGACCCAGGGGAACACTTCTTCCAAAACCACCAGCTCACTGTGATAACCGAAGTGCCCAAAAGGACAGCTCTTTCACTATCAGGCAGTTGAGTCTAGAAACTCAGGTCACAGAATCAACAAACAAAAATCACCATGTCCTGCATTCTTTGTTCTATGATTCATTATTGCTGTTGTTCCGTCGCTTAGCCACATCTGACTCTTGCATACCCACACTGTAGCATGCCAGGCTCCTCTGGCCTTCACTATCTCCTGCAGTTTGCTCACATTCACGTCCATTGAGTCGGTGATGCTATCTAACCATCTAATACTCTGTCACCCCCTTCTCCTGCCCTCCATCTTTCCCAGCATCAGGGTCTTTTCCAATGAGTTGGCTCTTCGCATCAGGTGGCCAAAGTATTGGAACTTCAGCTTCAGCGTCAGTCCTTCCAATGAATACTCAGGGTTGATTTCCTTTAGGATTGACTGGTTTGATCTCTTTGCAGTCCAAGGGGCTCTCAAGAGTCTTCTCCAGTACTGCAACTCGAAAAGCAACTTGAAAGGTGCTCAGCCTTCTTTGTGGTCCAACTCTCATAACCATACATGACTACTGTTCTAAAACAATACATGCTTTTAATTACAGCTTAGCTTTTAAAAAATATTTAACTTTAGAACTTTTTTTGTGGTTTTACATTTCTTTTTCTAGATAAAATTTCAAATAAATCTTTGACCCCAAAATTTATGAAGAAATGTTGGCTCCCATTTTAAAGGAGTTTAACTTAGAGTTCAGTTCAGTTCAGTCATTTAGTCGTGTCCAACTCTTTCCGACACCAGGCCTCCCAGTCCATCACCAACTCCTGGAGTTTACCCAAACTCATGTCCATTGAGTCGGTGATGCCATCCAACCATCTCATCCTCTGTGGTCCCCTTCTCCTCCCACCCTCAATCTTTCCTAG